CACTGTTAAACTAAGGCATGCCACCATATCAAACAACTAAAAAAAGGTTTCCATTTGATTTTCCGAGGCAGTGTGGAAAATCAAATGTGATTTTATTCACATTCCTTTTATTTGGTATTCTTGTTTTCATAGATTACCATGAAAGCAAGATATAGAGATTTTTATAATCAATAAGTAATCCTTGAATGTATTTTTTCAAACCCAGCACTAATAGCTGAACAAAAGTAATATCAACAATAGGTTTAATGAGAGAATATAGACACAAGTAAGAAATAAAAAGATAAATAATTCCATTTATAGATGTATGAATGTGGACAAGGCTTTAATAATTCTCTGAAGGTGCCATCAGTATTAAAATGATCTTGGAAAGTACAAAAACTGACAACATATAGAGAGCAAAAAATTCTATTTAAATCATAAAGTCAGTTCAAGAATAAAACATTTGAAAATCAATTACATTTCTGCTAAATCATACATTAACTTTGGTCTTTTCATTAGCACAAAAAAAACTGGGACATTATTCATGATCAGTCACAGAATTCTTTTGGTCAATTTCATAAACTGTCGTAAAAACTGAGTCCAAGACTGCCAATTTGCCGATGATCTAACCTAAAGACTGTCCTAAAATATTTTGTATATGACTTGTCCTGCACTGCATTTCAAAGTTAATACTTAACTTGAACTAACATCTACATTCTAAAAGACCCAATGATTACAATCCAATATAATAATGGTATAAGATAAATATTGCAGTGAACCTCAAATATATGACTATATTATTAAATATTTACAATCTTTACATGTCAAAGAGGCACCTTCCACGTCTGTTATCACTGCATGCAGCACCCTTTTTATTTCTCAAAAAGAAAACTGCAGTAAACTTGGAGGATATGAATTACTGTATGTTTAATAAACAGGAATTTGTATGAAAGTTTTTTATATTACTGTTGGCGAGTTATCTTCAACTTATGTAAAATCCAGAAATATCTTAAACTTCAACCAAGTCATAAGCAAAAATCAACTGTTACAGACATTTTCGAGAGAAATCATAAACAAATTTGCAGTCCAACTTTTCTTTGTATAGACAAATATCAGTCTATGACCTTTCATGAATACTGCCCCTGATGCCAAAAAAAAAAAAAAGATTATGAACCCTTATGTAATCAAATCCAACATGCAAAAACCTTTTAACCTTTCAAAACATACTAGTGTTCAGTAAAAAGTATCACAGAAAGTTTAGTCTCACTCAAAAGTGGCCCATATCTTGAAAGATGCTGATTCCAACCATAATTTGATAATCATAACCATAAATATTACTTTCCTTTAATAAATAAAATTGTATCCATCAATGTATGGAACAAGATCAAGGGGTTACTGTACCTACTGTGAGCCCTCTACATATCCTTACATGGAAATGCAATAGTCTACTGTATCTTAACTCATCCCTTCCACTTTTTTATATGTAGTACTAAAAGCAGTTCATTAAATTTTTAGTCTGTCTAAAGGTTGCTATCTAACTCCCTCTCTTACTTTGCCCAATATCCTACACAATAAATCTACAATATTTACATACATACAATATACAGTCCTGCCTCGTCTTACCTTGATGTCCTTCTCCAAGGGCTTCTTGTACAGCTTTTGATATTCCTGCTTGATGTTGCCCATGTCGATCTCACTGCGAGACACCACCAAGCGAATAAGAGCCCTGTCATTGGTGCCTGCCCCGGCCATGGAATTATGCAGCTCCTTGGCAAAGAAAGCTGCTCGGTTCTCGATGCACTGATCTGAAAAAGAGAAGGATTTGAAGCGATAGTTACAAATCTGAAGTAATTTTACTCATCTTAACCCTTCAATGACAGGTGTCCCACAGGCATCCTCCAAAATATTTATTCTGCCAGGAAATGAGGGTGTATGGCACTCTGAGAGAACCAGCAAACTAATAGATAATATGTTTGAGATTTTTTATGAATTCATTAAGAGTTTCTTCTATTTTCCTACTTGTTATATGATATCATGGATTATACTATTTTTAAAACTGGGAGAATATATAGGGGGATTTCATAGAGCAAAATTCTTCAGAAAAAATAATTCAGCTAAATACAACTCCTTAAAACATTCATTAGAAAATTATTGTTAGCATATCATGGATCTAATAAAAACACTTATCCGAATGCTGCTGGGAAAATGCTGTGTACACAATGAATTGTTTTGTGAAATATCTCTACACACAGATGGCTTCAAAAGTACTCTGCTACCAAGGAGACAATGGGTAGAGCTTCTGACTTCACCTTATTTCACCTTTCCATGAATTTTCAGATCTTTTTTATCTTACTAGGGCTATCAATATCGATGCTGTTATATCACTGTAGACTCTACAAAATATTATAATGCTATTACGATTACTGAGAGCAATATATGATAGAAGAAAACATTTCTGAAAGTGCAGGAAAGTGATAAACATGTGAGGAAGGTAGTACTAATAATTGACCTATTGGTGACTAAGTACTTGTGGAGCCATATGTGTGTAAAAACAATAAATAAACTGATGTCACTGTGTCACACTTCCTCCTTAAAGCTACAAGAAAAAAACAGATCTGAAGATATTGCCTTATCAATATTTGTTACGAGAACAGTCCAACAAATAGAACAAGGTAAATATATGTACAGTCTACCCTCCAAAAATCTGACCCCAATGCAATGGATCCAAGTTGTTATGGACAAATTTTAGTATCGTTTCACCCCAACCCTTTTTCAGGTGATATACAGAAAAGATTGGTCTATATCACCTGTCTCCCACCCCTCCACATACACATACACACACACACATCCACAATATGCCAACTCTCAGAAATGTTCTATGGCAATGCTCTTTTCTTCCAAATTAACATGGTTGTGGGATTAAAAATGCCAACCAAAACATCAAAATTGAACAAGTATTGAACAGTGCCAATTAGTCAGCAAGAAAATCAAGGAGTATGATGGTATTTTTAAGCATTAACAAAACAAAAAAAAAAAAAAAAAAAAAAAAAAAAAATCTTCCCAACTTCAGCTGAGAGAGAAGGCAAACCTAATTAATCTTATAAGCTGCATTAGCTGAAATATGCTATCCACACTGCAAAAATCACAATCAAGTCCAACAATAAATTAAAAATAATAACAAATCTTAAAGTGTCAGCTTGATTTATACACTGTTATTCCAGCAATATATAATACACAGAGTAACTGCAATGAACATGTTGAGATCTGACCAAGAAAATAAGATTCATACAAGGGCATTGGTGAAATAACCAGAGGCATGTTACTGCACTTCCATGGACACAAGATTTCCCTCATTTAGTCTATTCAAACAAGGATCAACTTCATATTCCAACTGAGAACACAAAAACTTCCAGTTAAAAAGTCCAGGATGAGATGGCACTGAAATACACCAAAGGACAGAGTACAGTGCTGCACGATTTGAACTCTCTGTTACTACAGACTACAACCAAAAGAGTCGTTGAGTAACAGTGACAAAATTGAGCCATAATGTTGGGAGGGTGTAGGTGGAGGTGTGGTGAAGGGAACTTGAGGAGGAGGATAGATATCTGCAAATACTCTAAATGTAAGAGTAGGAACAAAGGGATTGGGGGGTGAATGAGAGAGCGGAGTGTTCCCTTGGGTCATCTTTAAGTAGTTTTGGACGTCTTCAAGGGTTTCTGAGGGGAGTTGGGTGAAGAGGACTGAGAAACAAAGGCTCTTTTATGAGGAGGAAAAGAAGAGATAGATATCTGAGGAGCAGAAGAGGGGGGTGTAGGAGAGGGTGGAGTAGAACATTTAAGTTGCCTGGTGCAACAAATAAAGTGAGAAAGAAGGGGTAGGTATCAGGGACGTGGTAGACATTGGAGTATCTGGATTTAGACTGGAAAACAAATTTGACAGGGGGATAGGACGAGTAGACGTAGGATGGTTTAGGGTATAGGGAAGAGATACTGCGGGAGATGCAGAAGCATCTTGTGAAGATGGTGGGGAGCAGAGCAAAGGCTGTTCTGAAATAAGTAGTGAGAGAAAAATCTTGTCGTCATGCTTCTTGTCTGGCCTCATATAAAGTGAGGCCTAGTTTGAATCTGAGGACTGCTACCTCACATTCCAGCTTATAGGCAGGGCAGCTCCTATAAAATACATTATGGGGTTCTCCAAAATTGGCACATGTACGTGACTGATCAAGGCAATCTGAACGGTTATGACCAGGTTGGGCACATAGAGGGCAGGGAGCTGTGGAGTGACACGTGTTTGGCTGGGTGGCCAAAACACCAATATTTCTGACATTGATGAGGAAGGGGTCAATATGGTTGGACACGGTAGGACAATCCACCAATATAAATTTCATGGGAGAGGTCATGTCTATGGAAGCTAATCTTGGCAATATTGACATGGGACTTACGCTGGCCTCTGGGAGGAATAGAGTATCAATGTACTGCCACTGCATCAGCAGCAGCAAGGCAGGTAAGTAAGTCATTTTCACAGCATGACTAGCCCTTGTTGTAGATAAGACAAGCATTTGGGGGGACAGAAACAGTTCCAGTACAAGTATTGAGAGAGGGGTGAGATTCGTCAGGAATGGGTTTGCCAGCGAGGTCAGTTAGGGTAGATAGTGCACAAGTTTAGGATTTAGATGTAACTGTGACAAGGTGTGAACAATTGGAGAGACTGCAACAGGTAACATTGCCTACTTGTTTTTGAAGGCACTGTTGAAAGAGAAGGGTATTCTCTGAATAGGGAGCTGCAGTGGGAATCACAAAGAATCGATCCCACTTGGCTGGGCCAAAGAGAGTACTCAAAAGGTTTGTAGAGGTAAAGGTAATAGAAGGACAAGGGCAAGAGAAAGATGGGATGGCATGGAGAGTAGTAGTTCTGTGGGTTGGGAGGACAATAAGAATGAAGAGTAGTAATAAGGGAAGAGGGGGGCAGACATAGCAGAGGACTGTGCAGTAGGAGGAAGAGAGGAGAATGTTGGGAGAGAGGAAGGGGTGCTTTCTGGTCGAGTAATAACCTGGGTGGGTGTTTTGGAATGGATAAAGTTATCAGTACATGTAAAGGAGGGGGTATTAGTACCAGTGGTCAGAGCTGTGGTCAAAGAAGGGGCAGGGTTTGGAAAACCATGTAAATCAAATTTAGATGGGCTAGTTGGTGAAGGGGCAAGCCTTAATGTCCCTATTAAGAGTAAAGAATCTTCATCATTAGCCATGGTGAGTAAATAAAATGAGGAAAAGAAATCATCTACCCCTTGGGCTGAGGCCCAAGGTAGGGGTGATCCCCTACATTCGGCCTCAGTCTCCATCTCCTAAGCCCTCCTACGACAATGAGCAAGGTATTAGAAAGGAGTTAACTGTGAAGTGTTCATTTATATTTGGATATGAGAGAATAGTGGAGCCATAGAAAAGGAAGAATTACCATGTCTTAGGACGACATATATCATAGCACTGAGGCTGTTGTATGGCAAGTATAGTAAGAAATGAACAATCCATCTACAGCAAAGACAACAATCTAAACTTGTCTAAACAATACTTACAGATGGTCTTCATGCCAAGCTTCAGGTCTCCAGACAGCTCAGAATCAATGGCATCGCCAAAGGTCTTTCCCTTAATCTTCCTGTATTCTTCAAACACGCAGCGCAGGAGGGGATACGAGTAAGCTGACAGAATGCGGTTGAATTCTGCCTCATCTGTACCCATCTTGCCTTCACCTACATATCAAAAGATTTAAAAATACATATATGCTTTCTCATATGCCAGCACAAAAAAATAATAATAATAATAACCAGAAATTGTTTCAAATGAAGCATATCCAAATCTTATCAATATTGTAATATTTCCCAAATTCATTTTCAAATACTTGTTTATTCATTGTCAAATCTGGGTCTTCATTTTTACCCTGTGGCTCTTATAGGAGGATGCTAAATTTTCCAAATTATCAGATACATTTTTCTCGTAAAGTATTAACCTTTCTTATTCCTTTTCACATTCTTTGGAATTCATATATATGACTATTTTTTCTCTCTCAAAAGAAACAATAAATCGGAGAACTTCAGAATCCAAGCCAAATTGTCCATTTTTATTTTCCCTTGGATAAGATAGGGTACACTAATGTTTCCTGTTCATCCTGATAATTTTAAAGCAATCATATTTAATGAATATTTCACTCAATTCTCTTTTCACTGACACCATCACATCTTCATAACCAAAGTATTCAGCAACCAAACCATATAAATTCATTATAAATTGCTTACCTACAATTAATAAGTACCATATACATCCATCATGAATGACAGTTATCCCTGATCTTGATACAATGCCAGAAAAAAATATAAATAGAATAGGTTTCTTGGGAAATTTCTCACCTTTCAGTAAAACTACTAGTAATCTGTTTTATTTTGTTTTGCTTTTCAACATTCCTTATGTAATCAAACACCTCCATACTACAAAGAAATACAAGTGATTTTCTAACTTCTAAAAATAATCTACTGAAAAATATTCTCAACCTAAGGTCGGACAACTGACCTGCCTTGTATAGCTGTTGGGCCAAATTGTTTGCCAGGGCTGGATCACAGCTCGCCTCATCCCTGGCACATGCGCACATTGAAATGAGGAGACGGCGGAAATCTCCTGAGGTATCGCCATGGAGGTCTTCCTCCAGCTTCTTGCGGAAATGCTGGTAGTAAGCATTCTTGATCAACCTGATATGGAAAGAAATGCATGATTAATCCTGATGATTAATTCCATTTATTATATAATACTTGGAATTGAAATGCTTCCTAAAATAAACAACTGTTCAAATTAATTTCTATTGTTTCTGAATAAAGGTATGCTTACTAAATTTTTTAGAAGTTGCAAATCTTCTTTTCCATTAAACCCATGAAGAAAAACAGAGCCAGACAAAGCAGATGCATATATACATATAACATTATCATAAAATACCATCTGACAATGAAACATTACAATAAGAATCATCAGACATACATAAGTGAGGCATTGTCCCTAGTGCACAGGATCTCCACTAGGGTTCTCTCGTTGGTTCCAACCCCAGCAATGGCGTGATTGATCTCCTTGGCAAGGAAGAGCGGCAGAGGGGTCATCAGGGCAAGAATGGTGTCTTCAAATTTGCCACTAAGCTCGCTCTTCAGGTCCTTCACCAAGTCCTGCGCAAAAACTCAAATAAGTCCACGTTTATTTTTAAAAACAAAAATTATATTTACCAAAAGAAATGCATTTTTTTTTTTTTTTCATTAAAACCATAATTTACAAACACTACACATTCAAAAAAAGGCCTGAAAATAACAAATGTTGATTTAACTTCTACATTTTTTGGGCAGGTACTAATATATTTTACAAAATGAGGATTTCTATCAATACAGTAATAAATCCAAATGAGATGATGAAGATTTTTAGTGAGCATCCAATATAGGGGAAATGGAATAACCTACACATGATACTGATAATATAAAGCTATGAAAAATTCAGCATTCCTTACAAGTCTGCCTATCTACATTCTTCCAGTGATGTGAGGAGTGAGTGCAATGGGCCAAAAAGTCCCATGTGTATGTTAAGTGCAGAAGAGGTACAAGGGTAGAATAAAGAGAAAAGAACAAAGAATGGGAATAAGTAAGAATGAGTTGAGCCGAAAAATGTGGAAACAGATGTGATATACACAAACAGGGATGGCCAGAAGCAACACCACAGAGGGTGTGTGGGTTGTAGTAATATTTTGGTGAAAGTCTTTAAGGAAAGTCTCAGTAATTTTTTTGTACAAATGTTAAGGCATGTCCTTATGTTTCATGTGAAATCTTACTGACACTCATAAAAGTTTCCCCTTGGAAATAAAATCTTGATATTATTTTGCATGATTATAAATTCATGTCCATATGCTTCATGTAAAATCTTTCTGGCATTAGTAAAAGTTTCATGTTTTGCTTTTTCATGTACATTCTGAGGGGGGTCAGGTCTTGGTGATGTAAATACTGAAGTCCACACACACCCCACCCGAGGTTGCTTCACAGCTCCTCTTTAAAAGGGGGACACCAAAGTGGTACAGAAGAAATGAGCACAAACTATAAGCTCACAAGAACACACACACAAATGAAGCAGGGAAATGAAGAGTACATGTTAGACTTAAACTAATGAAAATAATGTCTTCATGAGGACCCTAGCAGCTATCAAAAGCTGTAAATCTACAACAATGACTGTCTATTCATAAATTTATGACTATATACAGTGGAATAGGGATGTACTATAATGAAGCTTTTTGGCAAGGGAACGGTAAACTACTTTCATGGTTTTCTTTTCTTCTGAATCTGAAAAGCAAGCAAACTGTTCCCATTAGCAAGCATATAAATTGATAATGTAATTAAGATCTTTGTTTCCTTCATTCAATAGGTCAGCAACTTCCCCCGTATACAGTGTAATTTAGATTAATGAGTCCATTTCCAATAACGAGAAACCTATCAAATGAACATCAAACAATGATCTTAACTTCACAAAGTCAAAATGATTTACAAAAAAAAAATTTGGTAACAAATTACAATGCAAATTGAAGATTTTAATATACTACTGCAAATACTACACACTTCTTAAAAGAAAAAATTTTGACACAGTTCTGTGATCGTCAAGGTTTTCATAAACTACTTTGTTAATATAGTTTCACGTGTTTAACTACTAAGAAGTAATCTACTTTTGGACTAAATGATTGAAATGCAGATACCAAGTTTTGTACCCCATTTCATTTGTCTCAAGTTCTGTAAGCACTGAAGCTCTGCTGAACGGTAGAGCAAAATAGCTTTTCTACAGTAGCTGAAGAAATGATAGTTTGGAAGCAGTTACACAAAGCTTGTACCGTTTTGATGCAAACCGTATCAGCAGTTTGTTCACTAACACCAAAATTTTGTATATGCTTCTGTCACGTCATCAATGTAACTTCAACATGTCTAAGTCTCGTTGCATGAAATAGGAAGACATTAATTCACTTGAAAGTATCCTACATTGCTGCAAGTGTCCGAGGCATATCATTTCAGGAGTACAGAGGCCTGACAGCAACATGCAGAGTAAACCATTCCGTGGTAAGGAAGAATAGTTTTGTACACTGACAGAAGCACTTGACACTTACCCCAGTGAGGGCTTTCTTAGAACCATCTCCTTCCTCCTTTGAAGTAGATATGGGAATGCAAGAATCCAGATAAACTTGTAACACAAAAAATTATTTTTACAGGGAAATTCAGAGTAAAATGGAGATTTTTCTGTCACTTTTCACTAAAAAGGATTTATGCGTTGCCAATCAGTTTCTAATAATGAATTTACAAAGATAATAAAATCTGTACAACAAAAATCCTAACAACAATTTAAGATCATTACAGAGTATAAATGACACAAGGTTTTACAATAATTACTTGACACAAAGCTTTACAATAATTACTTCAGATTTCAGATTTTACAAATAAAGGTTATGAAGGCTATACTTACCATAATGTCATATCTTCACTTTTAGAATGAATACATTTTGTACAACAAACAACTTTCTTCCTTAACCTATGAACAAGTTTAAATCACCAACACTTTTAGGTTTCTAAAGAATCGTACCAATTTGTTAACCACATAGGATTTTGTTCTTTTATATGTCACAGTGAACTGAATGTTAAGTTATTTATAAATTCTGCTCTCCTTCCTCATGTTCAAAAATGATCACAGTAAACCATAATGAAATATACCTCAATTCATTAATGGATTTTCCGTCAACAAACACGCACTAAACCATAGTAACCAGGCCAAAGCCCACACTCCCCAACATATGAACTAACCCTGCCATAGGACTGCTGGTACTTCAGCATGATCTGCTGACGCTGGTCGGAGGTCCTGCGAGACAGGATTGCAATGATGGCAGCTTCGTCAGTCCCAAAGCCCTTCATGGCCTTCCTCAGAGCGGCAGCATCACTGCTAGGGTCAAAGTGCCCTGCAGCCGACACAGTGGGAATCTC